TCTTCTTGGCCTTATAGATGTGTGTTTAGTGCCCAACATGTGGTCTCTCTTGGGGAATGTTCATATGCATTGGATAAGAATGTATATTTGGATTTGGGGGGAATGAAAATCCCTGTCTATATCTACTAACCCTGTATCTTCTATTTCTTCCTTTAAAGTCAGTATTTTCTTGAGTTTTAATCTGTTTGATTTATCAAGAAGTGACAGAGTAATGTTGAAGTCTTCAACTACTTTGCTGCTGTCAATATCCCCCCTTGAAATTGATTAGCATTTTCTAAAGTATTTTGCTTTACTTATTGGTTAGATACATATTAGGATTATGATTTATTACTGATGTTCATGTACCTAATTATTCAGCAGTTATCCTCTCTGTCTAATACTTTTGAGCCAGAAGTCTATGATATTTGATATTAGTATAGCCACCCTTGCCTTTTTAGGGAGTAGTTTGATTGAAAGTTTCTCTTTCAAACATTGACTTTTAGTCTGTGTCTTCTGACTATTCAAATGTGTTGTAGATAGAAGAATGTTGGATTCATTTTATTAATCGACTTTGACTCTCTGTCTCTTAATTAGTGCATTTAGTTCATTGACATTAGGATTACTGTCATGGAATTTGTGCCATATTTCTGTAAAAGTTGGTGGGCGTATGGAGTTTGTCTGATCTTAATGTTGCACTTGAGTTTGGTTAAAGTTATTTCTATGTCTATGAAGCCCCTGGGCTCTTGTTTGTCAATGACATTTTGCATTATTCCTTCAAATCTGAAAAAGAGTCTGACTAGGTAATGTATTTTTCGTGAGGCATTGATTTCATTCAGGAATTTTGCTGTTTATTTTTGTTTTTAACTGTACCCACCATTGTCTTTGGGTCCAGAGTGTTGCATTTGACAAGTCTGATGTAAATCTTTGGTATATTCCTTTTTATGCAATTTCCTTCTATGCTCTTGTTGGTTTCAGTATCAATAATTTTTTTCATTCTGATTATGATATGTCTTGGAAGGTTTTATTGGGTGGGAGGGGCTCTTTTAGCTAGTACTCTTCATGCTCGTGGATCTGGGTGCTTGCATTCTCCAGTTTTGGGAACTTCTCAGCAATGATGTCTTGATTTTTATTCCTTCATTGGTATTATATTCCTGTCTCCCTGGGACTCCAATAAGTTTTATGTTCTTATCTTTTAACTCATCCCTAAGAATTTTTGTCTGCTGATCATTTCTTTTGAGATTCTGTTCCATCTTCTGCTATTACCTGTAGGTTTTCCACATCTCTTCTTTTGTACCCAGCTGTTCTTACTCTACTGCTGAGCTTCCATTTAGTTTTATGTTTCACCTTCCAAATTTTTTAATTGTGACATTTCTGATAGTAGTTTTCTCATTTATGATCTCCTGTCCTCCTGTGCATTATTGGCTATCCATTCCATTGTTTCCTTGAGCTCATTAAAAATCTTCACCATGTTCTCTCTGAAATCTTCATCAGATAAATTATATATGTAGATATTCCTTGTTGTACCTGTATTTTAAACCATAATTCCCAGAAGGTAGAAGAGCAGAGAGAGAGACAAAACACACACACACACACACACACACAGAGATACAGAGGTGGGGCAGAAGAAGAGGAAGAAGAAGAAGAAGAAGAAGAAGAAGAAGAAGAAGAAGAAGAAGAAGAAGAAGAAGAAGAAGAAGAAGAAGAAGAAGAAGAAGAAAAAGAAGAAGAAGAAGAGGAGGAGGAGGAGGAGGAGGAGGAGGAGGAGGAAGAAGAAGAAGAAGAAGGAGGAGGACGAAAAGGTGCAGGAGGAGGAGAGGAGGAAGATGAAGAGAGGAGGAGGAGGAAAGTTTCTGCCATTGAAGCATTCTGCATGGTGGAGCATTGGTGGAAGGGAAATTGAGGACACTGTGAAGGGACAGGCGTTGGAACACTGTATGACTGAAACTCAATTATAAACAACTTTGTAACTGTGTATCTTGCAGTGATTCAATTAAAAACATTAAATATTTCTGTGAAAAAATAAATAGAAATTGGAAGAGTAAAAATATTGAGAGGTGATAATGATCAAATAAACTTTAGTTTCAACACAATGAAGGAAAGTTTACTTTTATGTAGACTGACATTAATTTGGAAAATATGTATGAGGATATGATGCTGATATGTTTCTTATGGAAGTATGAGCGTTGGAGGTTATTTTTCTGTGTAAGTTTTTTTTCATAATTTTTATTAGTGAAACACCATGTGGTGAGGTACAGTTGTAGACTTACAAATTTTTGTGCTTGGGTTTCATTTATACAATGATTGATTAACAGTCCCCCCATCAGTGCCCATTCTCCACCACCAATGATCCAAGTATCCCTTCCATTCCCCATACCCCCCATCCCACCCTGCCTCTGTGGCAGAACATTCCCTTTTATTCTCTCTCTCCTTTTGGGTGCTGTGGTTTGCAAAAGAGGCACTGAGTGGCATCATGTTTGGTCTATAGTCTACTTTCAGCATGCATCTCCCATCCTGGGAGGGCCCTGTCAACACCCTTTACTTGGTGCTCCCTTATCTATCTGAGCTGCCTTTTCCCCTAGCATGTGCAGCTAGCCTTCAAGCCATGGAGTGAACCTCCTGGTATTTATCTCAACTATTCTTGGGTGTTAGTCTCCTATTTTGTTACTTTATATTCCACAGATGAATGCAGTCTTTCTATGTTTGTTCCTCTCTTTCTGACTCATTTCACTTAGCATGATACTTCCCATGTAGTATCATTTGTATGTAAATGTCATGACTTCTTTTTTTCTAACTTCTACATAGTACTCCATTGTGTAGATGTACCAAAGTTTCTTTAACCAGTCATCTGTTCTCAGGCACTCAGGTTTTTTCCAGATTCTGGCTATTGTGAACAGTGCAGCAATGAACATAGAAGTGCAGATGTCATTTATACTATACTTTTTTGCCACTCCGGGATATATTCCCAGGAGTGGTATTGCTGGATCAAATGGGAGCTCGATTTCTAATTTTTTGAGTATTGTCCATACTGTTTCCTAAAAGGGCTGAATCTGTTGGCATTCCCACCAGCAGTGAAGGAGAGTCCCTTTCTCGTCACATCTGCGCCAACACTGATTGCTTTTGTTCTTTTGTATGTGGACCAGTCTCTGTGGTGTGAGATGATTTTTCATTGTTGTTTTGATTTGCAACTCCCAGATGATTAGTGATGTAGAGCATTTTCTCATGATCATTTTAGCCATTCGGAATTCTTCTTTGAGAAAATTTCTGTTCATTTCATCACCCTAATTTTTTGATGGGGTTGGATGTTTTCTTCTTGTGGAGTTCAATCAGTGCTTTGTATATCCTTGATATCAACCCCTTATTGGATGGGTATTGGTAAATATCCTTTTCCATTCTGTAGACTGTCTTTGTATTCTGGTCACTGTATCTTTTGAGGTACAGAAGCTTCTTAATTTAAGATAGTCCCATTTGTTTATCTCTCTGTTTCCACTTGGTTGGTCAGTGGAGTGTCATCTTTTAATATTAGCCTCAATATCATGAAGGCTTTTGCCAACCTTATCTTCAATGTACCTTATGGATTTGGGCCTGATGTTGAGATCTTCAATCCATTTTCATCTGACTTTTGTGCACGGTGTTAGGTTGAGTTCTAAGCTCATATTTTTGCATGTGGTTGTCCAGTTATGACAGCACCGTTTGTTGAAAAGACTTTCCTTGTTCCACTTCATATTTCCCTACAAGGATACCCATGAAATTCTTCAAAGAAATAGATCAAGTACTCCTAAAATTCATATGTAACCACAAATGCACACTAATAGCTAAAGAAATTCTTGGGAAAAAGACATGGGGAGACATTACCCTCCCCAACTTCAAACTCTACTACAAAGCCGTAATAATTAAAACAGCATGGTACTGGAACAAAGGCAAGGCTGCAGATCAATGGAACAGGGTGGAATATCTGTAGACACAACCCCAAATGTATGAATGAATCTTTGATAAGGGAGCAAGAAATCTGTGAAATTTTTAATTGATTAATTTGTTCTTACATCCATTCCTACTTTTTATTGTTTTCCATACATCCATTGGTATTGGGGCTAGAGTAATAGCACAGCATGTGGGGTGTTTGCCTTATATGCAGCCGATCCGGGTTTGATTCCTCTGTCCCTCTTGGAGAGTCTGGCAAGCTATCGAGAGTATCCCACCTGCATGGCAGAGGCTGACAAGTTACCCGTGGCATATTCTATAAGCCAAAAACAGTAACAAGTCTCACAATGGAGGTGTTACTGGTGCCTGCTTGAGCAAAGCAACGAACAAGCGAGGACAGTGCTACAGTGCTACAGTGCATTAGTATAGATAGACCAAAGAAAAGCAATATAGATGGTTGACGGGCATTGGTGAGACTTTATCTGTGAATAATTATTTAGTAATTATTCAATATCTACTTTTATTTTAAGTAAATGTATATTAACTATTGAACTCCAGATCAGAGTCTCTTTTGGAGAAGAGAATGTGGATGTGTCCTAATAGTCGACTGTCAGTCAGACTGAATTAGGAGAGTAAGTACAGCCTGCGTGCCTAATGCTCTCTTAGGTTATTGTTATTTTGGCTTGTATACAGGACACATTGTAAAAAGGTTAACATGAACTAACATTTTACATTAGCCAGCTAAAAATATTTTATTACAGAATTTTCTTTTAAGTAATCACTGTCCTCCTGTTGTTCATTGATTCGCTTGAGCGGGCCCAGTAATGTCTCCATTGGAGACTTTGTTGTTACTGTGTTTGGCATATCGAATACATCACGGAGAGCTTGCCAGGCTCTGCCGTGCGGGCGAGATACTCTCGGTAGCTTGCCGGGCTCTCCGAAAGGGGCGGAGGAATCGAACTCGGGTCGGCCATGTTGGCTGCGTGCAAGGTGAAATGCCCTATCGCTGTGCTATGGGACTATCGGGCTGGAGCTGGCGGTGGCCATAGGTTTCTTTTAAGTAGAAAAAATAATTTAGTTGCTTTTAATTTCTTATTTTACAGGAACTTTTGGTTTGCGGAAGCCATGGTATTTCCCCTTTACTCTGTCATATTGGAAGAACATATGTGGTTTGATAGAGAAAAGTCCACCTGTGCCACGTTCTGATCTGTTCTTTATTGGGAATTTTGGAATAAAAGGTTGGTAAAGAGTACTGCTATTAAGCATAGTTTTCTTCTGCTCAGTTTTGGCTTTGTTTTTCAATCAAAACTGAGCATTTGTAAATATATGAACTGTTCTCTGCAGCCTAATTCTAGACTCTCCTCCTCTTAAATTATATCATCGGGTAAAACTGCAGATATTGGCATTTATCTAACTTGAGTCGGGAGTTGGAGATCTTAGCACTATTGTCTATTTTAAATGCTTCCAGGCATTATATACATTTTTACATGCATTATTATTGAGAGAGTTGCACCTTCAACTCTCAAGTTGAGGCTTGACTTGTATAAAAACTAAGAGTTTTATGAGAAAAGCACTTTCCCTTGTGCTTTTATAAATATTAGAATATGCAATTCAAGAGAGAATGTTACTCTCCTTTATGAAAAATGCTTCCCTGGTTAGAGACAGAATTTCTGGAATTTCTTTGCTTCATTCAAAAACTACTGCTTTTGATTACTTCAGGGCCATAATAATAGTACAGTAGGAGGGGCGTTTTCCTTCCCTGGAACAAACTGAGGTTCAACTTCTGGCACCATTTATAGTTCCCCAAAGCCTGCAAGGGATGATCCCTATGGGTGGAGACAAAAGTAAGTCCCCCCAGTCTATTTTTTTTAAAAGGATGACTTCATGGGGATTTGCTGATAAAATTCCATCATGAAGGACTTAAATCAATGTGCTAAACGCTATCTATACATTTATAATTTATCTATCTATATATATCTGAATTTTGTATTGCCGATGGACAGAATCTGCAGATAAACTTCCATCATGAAGGACTTATGTTGGTGTTCTAAACTATATGTGTATATCTGCTAACTTTTACCTTATTGGAAGTAAATTCATTTGATATTTTAATGTATAAGCTACCTATTTTGTTCTTCCATATGTATATGTATGCATTCTGTTAAAATATAATTCATTTAAAATATAATTTGCTTTTTGCCTTTAGTAAAAAAAATATTTTGAGTGTTTTATATGTTGTAGAACTCAATTGGTTCACTTTTGAAATCTTCTCAGTGAATTTGTCTCTTTTTCATAGGATCATCTTTGCAAAATGGGGAAGGAAAACTTGAAGAGGGTTACCCAGGTGTTGAATTGGTATCTGTGACTAAGGAGTTTGAAAACCACAAAGCCATCCAAAATCTCACCCTCACCTTTTACCAAGACCAGATTACTGCACTGCTGGGCACCAATGGTGCTGGAAAGACCACTGTCATGTGCGTACCACTCCAAGTTCTGCACTGGGATTCCTAACAGTATGGCTTGACTATAAGACAGACTGATTTATATTTCTTGTTCTGTTTACACAAAGGAGAGAGATTTTCTCTTCCTTTAATCACACAAGAAAAACACAGCTTGAGCAGGGTTTTGGAGTGGGGGTGTATCAATATTATATATATTTGGTTATTTTGCCCCCAGTTATAAACATAATTCATATTTTACCATCATTCTTGAAAATATTGTCTTTATAATTCTGCAGTTTAATTTTATTTGCACATCTGTAAGAGATTAAATTTGAGTTAGTTTGTTTCCAAGTATTCTAAGTGACTTGATATTCTTTTATCATGTTCTGTGTTTGTTTGTAGTTATTTGTTTTATTATAAATACTTAACCTTTGTTTTTGGCTCCATCAGATATATGATGCTAGAGAAATAAAGAAAGCAGTGTTTATAGGCCTCAAACTGCTCAAAAATTATAGTTTGTTTGAAGCTACCTCTTAATTCTCAATTTTATCTTTTCACTTATATATAATATTTATTATATGTAAATATTATACATATATATTTTGGGTAGGAGTAAAGTAGTACTTTTGCACTACACTGTCTTCCCATTGTTCATCAATTTGCTCAATGCGGGCACCATTAATGTCTCCATTGTGAGATTCATTAGTGTTTTTGGCATATCGAATATGCCACAGGGAGCTTGCCAGGCTCTGTCGTGTGGGCGAGATACTCTCAGTAGCTTGCCGGGCTCTTTGAGAGGGATGGAGGAATCGAACCTGGGTTGGCAGGGTGCAAGGCAAATGCCTTACCCGATGTGCTATCCATCCAGCCTAAAGTAGTTAGAATAATAAAATGAAAGATTTGATTAAAAGTAATTAATAACTCTATGTGGAGTGAAAAATAACATGTATCATATGCATTTGAATGGACATAAAATTGATGGAAGCTTTCTTCTTAAAATAAAACTGAAGATCTCATTGAGTAATATTTTTAAATGTTATTCAATCTGGGAAAGTAAATGTTGCACAAAGAATGACTTAGGAAGCCAGAATTCCACAGCATGCTTTTCTTAGTTTTATTACCTTATAATATTTTTGGGGGGTGATGCACAGGCATTACTCCTGGCTCATGAACTCAGGAATTATTCCTGGTGTTGCTCTAGAGACCATATGGGATGTTGGGAATTGATCTCGGGTCACCTGTGTGCAAGGCAAACTCCCTACCCACAGTGCTATTGCTCCAGCCCCAATTACTTTATAATGTATTTATTTATTCTATTGAAATAATGAATTTACATTATTTCAGAATTATTGTTTTATACTTGCCATGCCAGTTTACCACAACAACTACCAGATTCCACTTTCCCAATATGTCTCTCCCTTTTACAAATTTGTGTCACATATCAATGTTCTGTTGGCACAATATCAGACTTTATTTCCACTGGGGAATCTCTCATCTCTTGCTTGGTTATTTATATTTCACAAATGAATAAAATTATTTAGAGACTGTTTTCCCTTATAGCTCATTCATTTCAGTTAGCATGATACTCAGCAATAAATTTTAAATTTCATCTTTTTACATGGTTTAGTGATATATACATGACTTCATAATCTTTTATTGGACAGTTGGATTATTTCCAGATCTTGTATAGTGTGAATAATGTTGTGACTAACATAGTTGTGGAAATACCCTTAAGGTCAATTTTCCAGTGTTCTTTCTTAGAGTATGTGCTAAAGAGAGGAATCACTGCATCATATGGATTCTCTATTCTTATTTTCTGAGAAGTCTACATGCAATTCATCCATAAGGGCTAGACCAAGCAGAACTTCTAAAAACAGTAATTCAGTTTCATTCTTCAGTGCATCCCAGGCCAGCACTGAGTTTTCCTCATTGTATTTTCTATAAGCCACTCTCACTGGTGTGAGATCTCTCTCTCTCTCTGCTTTAATTTTTATTTCATTGATAATCATTGATGATCAACACTTCCATATATCTAATAGCCATTTGTATGTATTTCTCAATGATGTGTCTGTTCAGCTACCCTGCCCAATCTTTAATAAGGTAACTTGTTTCTGTTAACTGAGCATGGTGTGAGACTTATTTATCTAAGAAATTATTTCTTTGTGTCTAATATATGATATGTGAATATTGGGTAGGGTATTTTATCTGTATTATAATTTTGTTTTCCATATGGAATCTCTTATATTTAACAAGGTTCCATTGATTTATGTGCACAGCGGGTAAGGCGTTTGCCTCATTGAACATGGCTCACATGGCCAACCTGGGTTTGATTCCTCCGCTCCTCTTGGAGAGCCTGGCAAGCTACCGAGAGTATCTCGCCCACATGGCAAAGCCTGGCAAGCTACCCATGATGCATTCAATATGCCAAACACAGTAACAACAAGTCTCACAATTTGTGGTGTGACGTAACTGGTGCCTGCTCGAGCAAATCAATGAAAATCGGGAGGACAGTGCAGTGCAGTGCCATTGATTTATTTCTGCTTTCATTCTTTGTTAATGAGGTTGTCTTACTGAAGTCTTTTCGGAGGGAATTACTATGGAGTATTGTGCCAATGTTTTTTCAATGCATTTGATAGACACAGACACAATATCAAGGCTTTTCAATACATTTCAAATTAACTTTTATGTGTGGCATGATATAGAGTTCTGGTCTAGATTTTTTTAAATTTTTCACATGTCTAGTCATGTGAAACTTTCCCAACATAATTTTTGGAGGGTCAAATGTGTCTCCTAACAACTTGTAGAATTAAATTTCTCTCTCTCTCTCCCTCTCTCCTTTTCTCTTTCTCTGTTGGTCTTTGTTTTTGGAACACACCTTGAGGCTCTTAAAGCTTATGCCTGGTTCTGTGCTCAAGAGATCATGACAAGTGGGGCAGGGTGCCAGGATGAGATGTTGTACGGAATTGAAGCAGGACAGCTATATTCAGGGCAAGTGCCCTATTCACTTGTAATATTGCACTGACTCCAGGGTTTAATTTAATGATCCATCCACCTGATTGGTGAATTTATAATATTTACATTAATTGAAAAAACTTCAAAGAATGAATTTGATGCCATCATTTTATATGTTTTAGGTTTGTTTATATCTATGACCCTATTTTGCTTTCTGGATGCACATATTCTTCTGGAGGCAGCCATTTAACACCTTATATCATTGATTTAATGACAAGCAACTTCTTAAGTTGTTCGTTGTCGGTAAAGTTTTTAATTTGTTCTTGAACTTAAATGAAAACCTGGTTAGATAAAATGTTCTTGATTGAATACCAAATTAACTCAGTGCATTGACTGTATCATACTAACCCCTTCTTTCCTGTTCGGTTCCACTATAGGATCTAACGAAGTTTATAAACTCTTATTTATAAGTACTTTTGCCTTTTATCTCAGTGCTCTTAAAATTATGTCATTACTTTATACCTTAAAAAGTCAATTACAGTGTGTAGATATTCTTATATTTGTATTTGGTCTGTCTGGAACTCCTTGTGATTTCTGAAACTGGATCGGTGTAAGTTTTTTGTTTTAATTTCTCACATCAAAACATCTTCCCTGTCCTTACTTTATTTATTTATTTATTTATTTATTTACTTATTATTAGTGAAACACCATGAGGTACAGTTGTAGGCTTACAAATTTTTGTTCTTGGGTTTCAGTTATACATTGATCGAATACTCATCCCTCCACCAGTGCCCATTCTGCACCACCACTGATCCCAATATCCCTCCCACCCCCCATCTCCCTATCCCACCCTCACTCTGTGGCAAAGCATTCCCTTTTGTTCTCTCTCCTTTTGGGAGTTGTGGTTTGCAAAGGAAGCATTGAGTGGCAATCATGTTCAGTCTATAGTCTACTTTCAGCACACATCGCCCATCCTGGGAGGATCCACCCAACACACTTTACTTGATATTCTCTTCTCTATCTGAGCTTCCTTTTCCCCTAGCATGTGCGACTGGCCTCCAAGCCATGGAGTAAACCTCCTGGTACTTATCTCAGCTATTCTTGAGTGTTAGTCTCCTATTTTGTTACTTTATGTTCTCCAGATGAATGCAATCTTTCTATGTCTGTCCCTCTCTTTCTGACTTATTTCACTTAGCATGATACTTTCCATGTAGTACCACTTGTATGTAAATTTTATGACTTCATCTTTTCTAACTGTTGCATAGTATTCCATTGTGTATATGTACCAAAGTTTCTCTAACCAGTCATCTGTTCAAGGCACTCAGGTTCTTTCCAAATCTTGTGTATTGTGACCAGTGCAGCAATGAACAGAGAAGTGCAGATGTCATTTTGACTGTACATTTTTTGCCTCTCTGTGATATATTCCCAGGAGTGGTATTGCTGGATCAAATGGGAGCTCAATTTCTAATTTTTTTAAAAAAATTTTATTAGTGAAACACCATGAGGTACAGTTGTAGATTTACAAATTTTTGTGCTTGGTTTTCAATTGTACCCATTGTTTACATTAGATATTTTGCTGTCCTTTAGCTTGGTAATTTATGATTAAAGTTTCTTCAAACTTTGGATTTATATTTTTTCTAAATCTTCAGTGAAGTTATCCTTTTGACATCAATTTGGTGAACATGTCTTTTTATCAGAAAGTGTTGAGATAGTTCCACTTTTGATATCAACCATTAGCATTGATTTCTTTGCTTCTTCATTTTGCCTGACTCATATGAGTGATCACGATCATGATCACGACCACCCTGTTGTTCGTCGATTGCCTCGAGCAGGTGCCAGTAACGTCTTCTTCATCCTAGCCCTGAGATTTTTTTTAAAAGTACCATATTCAAGGCTTTTTCAGGGTTAGGAGAATGAGACCCATCATTGTTACTGGTATTGGCATATTGGGTATACCACGGGGAGTTTGCCAGACTCTGCCGTGTGGGCAGGTTATATTTGGTAGCCTGCCAGTTTGTCCAAAGTAGGAATGAGATGATAAGATGTCGCTTGTCATCAGTGCTTCTGGGAGCTGAGTGTGATAATCTCTGGATCCTGGCCATTGTTGGAGTTACACGGCAGTTGGTGGGTTTAACTGTCTAGTTACTGGCAGGTCCAGTCCCAAACCGTGCAGACTTGGAGATCTCAGCCCCGGGTCCCACACACCTGGGTTCCTCTGCCAGTTCTTTTATGCGTGAGGCTCATCCAAGTGTGTGGAGAGTGGTCCCAGCATGGCCTTGGCTGGGCCCCGGAGGTCTTCAGGTGTTGGGCCCTGGTGATATGAGTGATATGAGTGATAGTGTTGAGGAAATAGTTTTGTATTGTCCTGAGTGGTTTGTATTTGTTTTATTTCCTGATTCACCCCCAAAACAGGTAAAGCACTGAATTTTTCTTTTTCAAATTTACTTATTTAGCGGGCCTGAGAGATAGTACAGTGGGCATGCCACTTGCATTGCTTGTGGCCAACCAAGTCAATTCTGGAGCCCCATATGACTTCCCAAGCATGTGGATTCACCTATTGTGGATTTCAAAGAAAAGCGGGACTTGTGGGTTCAGTGGCCCAGAGTCATCTCCTGGCTGTCTCATGGTGATGGATGGATAAAGAACACAGGGCCCCAGACTTGTTGGTACTCAGTTGATTTCTCTCTCCTAACATCATCTGATCTCTCCCTTACAGCACAGTCACAGATGTAGTTTTGGTCGTAGTCCCAGTCATCATATTTCCATCATCCTATTTCCCTTTTTCTTTTTTATAGCATAGTTATGTAGAAATCATGATGGGTGACTCCCAGGAGGGGAGATGCATGTCGAAAGTAGACTATGGACTGAACATGTTTGCCACTCAATGCCTCTTTTGCAGACCACAACACCCAAAAGGAGAGAGAGAATACAGGGGATTGCCCTGCCACAGAGACAGGGGGGATGGGGGGATGGGGGTGGGAGGGATATTATCCATGGTGGTGGAAAATGGGCACTGGTGGAGGGATGGGTATCTGATCATTGTATAATTGAAACCAAAGCACAAAAAATTGTAAATCTACAACTGTAAAAAAAAAATAAAATAAAATAAAGGGAAAAAAAAAAGAAATCATGATGGGTGAGGGTAAACAGAGGTGGGGTTGCACGTTGTCATAACAACAAACAGGGATAAATCCACTCCTCAGGTTAGGTTCTAGGATATTAACTCAAGGACAAGATCTCATCTGAGGGTTCAGCTTTCTAGATTACTAGGAGACTCACTCAAGTGTAGGATTCTATCTAGGGTGTATTGCTTTCTCCTTTCCTCAGCTATCAATCCATTCAAACAACCATGGTATATCTACTTCTTACTAATATTTATAGTCATTTTTTATAAACATAGCAAGCAAGAGATATATTAAGCTTAAAGCTTAGTTCTTCCTGGGGACATATTGCTATATATCCCAGACTGTAGTCCTTAGGCCAGGTTGGTCTTCCTAACCCCAGCAGTGGGTCATGACAGAATTTATCTATGACCATGCTCTTATTATACCTCTTATGGCACTTAGTTGATCCTTTCCTATGCCAGGGTAGTTTACAACTTGCCCTGGGTCCATTCTGTCCCTTGCTGGGATCCTCTTTTTTGGGCATGTTAGAAAGTAAGGGAAAATGAGATCTAAGTCAAGTAAATATGATGGATACCCAGGAGTAAATATTATTTGGAGTCAATTAACTCCCATGTTACAAAAGCATAGCATCAACTGTCTTCCTGTGTCTATACAAAAAGGACATTGCTAAACCATGCAAATGACATAAAGTAAAAAGAAAAGCAATATAGGATTATTAGTGCCTGATGGAATTGGGTGTGCTTCAGGAGCACTCTTGTGTGAGTAACTCAATAAACTAAGCTCCCTTTGGGAGGAGCAAGGACAGCCCAATATTATAAATCCACTCCTCAGGTTAGGTTCTAGGATATTAACTCAAGGACAAGATCTCATCTGAGGGTTCAGCTTTCTAGATTACTAGGAGACTCACTCAAGTGTAGGATTCTATCTAGGGTGTACTCTATCTGAGAGTCAGTGTGCTCACGGTGGGTCTTCAATAAAACTCTGTCCGAAAACTGCTGTCCTGATACTGTTGTCTCTGGTTCAAGTGCAGTGATCTCTCTTTTTTTCTAATTTTCATTCTGTAGACTGACAAACTAAAGTTAATTTTCTATCAGAATGATGAGAATAAAACTGAAAATTTCTTGATGGTTCAACTTCACTTGAAGTGTGTGTTTGAAATGCGTATTGGATCATTCCAGGGACTGTAACTTCTGGCAGTTACCAGTTGGGACATGCAGACACCAATTAACAAACTCGTAGTCAATATTTAAAACAAAAGACTCAGTGACTCATAAGGCTTGGGCATTCACTATTCCACAGTTGTCCCTAATGTGGTTTGAAAATGATACAGAAAGCAGTACTTAATTAAGGTTTTACAGGTTTGATTTATGTGCTAGTAATTGTATCTTTTGAAATGTCTGAACTCTGATACAGGCTTTTATGGTGCTAAAATGTCTGAGTCAGATAATAATGCAGAACAATTTTACCATGCAAAACTTTTGCTGCCTTATTTTGATCTGTCACTCAGTGACAGCCAGTGTTTGATTTGCACTGTAAAGTAGTTTGTATCTTCTGAATGGTGCCTGACTTCTGGCACTTAGCATGTTGCACAGAGACCTTTATGGTGGTAGCTCTTAGTTGGTTGGCCATTTTGTTTTCCACTCCATTGAAGTACTGAAGCTAATTTATCCTTTCTTCTGTTAGTGGCAACTTCACCCATTTCTTACTTTTTGAGATAATTGTCAGCATTGCTGGAAAATGTGTGTATTTTTTTCTTTGTATTTTTGTATTTTTTCTTGAGTTTGCCTGAATTTTTAGAAATTAGAAAACAACTCACAATGTAGGTAAGAAACTTTCTGAAATGACACAGAAATAGACAGTCCCCAGTATACCTTAGAGCAAGTTAGACAAGTGAATTTCTAGGCAATGAGTTGCTTTAGCCTCTGATGGGCAAATGTGCCAGGTGTGTGGGAAAGACCTGGCCAGAGAATGGAGTAGAAGTTTGTGTTTCTGCCACACTTATATCCAGTTGTGAGAATTAAGTTAGTAGTCAGTATACCTTGTATTTTGGGAGGTAGAAAACCAGTTGTGTTCAGGGCTTATTCCTGGCTCTGTACCCAAGGATTAATCCTGTCAGCGTTTGGGGGCTATATGCATTGCTGTGGATCAAACTCAGGCCAGATATATGCAAGGCAAGGCTCTTACCCACTGTACTCTCTTAAGCCTTGCCCCGTATTTAAACCTGCTTGATCATCTGTAAAAATTAAAATTGAATTTTTATGATCATGAGTTACCATTTACTCTGTTGACTACAGAATTTTAAAATAAAGGAAATATTGTAGAGCAGGGCAACAGGCACTAGAGCATATGCCTTAAGTGTTATTCTAACCTCAACATATAACATTGAAAGGGATTTGACAAAGCATAATGGAAAAAGTAATACACCAATAGTGTTAATGTCTAATGTGGTTGGACTTCCTGTAAGCCAAGATCCTCTACAAAAATGCGTGTATTTAGCAATAAAGTGAGCTGTGATCAACTGTTCCCAGAGGGTGTTTCTCCATGCTCTTGTTCTTCTTTATCCCATGGCCAGGCTCCTGTGCTGACTTGGTGTGCAAGGTGTCTGGGCACCTTGGAGTTAACTATTCCCCAAGAAAAGATCAACTCTGTAATTCCAAAAGTAAACTACTAATCGTCCTGTGAATCTATTTACAGCTCTTAATAGGTAGTACAAAGGTTAGATTAGTGGTTAGTGTTTGCTTCCATTTCCAGCAGTTGCATTTTGTAGTATCCTCGATGTGTTATTTTTTTCCTTATAGGTCCATGTTGACTGGCCTCTACCCACCTACTTCTGGAAACATCATCATCAATGGCAAGGACCTACAGACAGACTTGTCTGCCATCAGAGCGGTGTTGGGGGTGTGTCCCCAGCGTGATGTCTTATTTGACAACCTCACTGTGTTGGAGCACCTGATGCTCTTTGCTTCCATCAAAGCACCACAATGGACCCAGAAGGAGTTGCAGCATCAAATCAACAAGTTAGTATAGTAAACTTCTTACGTCGCCCACACTCAACATGTATAAATTAATGAAGAATATAAAATGCTTACAAAAATATTTAATGTCCCTGTGCATGAAAAGAAAAAACCAAATGACATTTACTGTAAAAATGGGTGATGAACACTAAAGCTGAGATGCCAGAGACATCTTAGGAGGACATTTTATTTGATGTGGTATGTTCTGTAAGTAAGCAACAAACACATGCAGAGTAAATAGGGTGACATAGACTGTCAGTGGGAGCCTTATTTCTGGAATATAGGTTTACATATTTGTCTAAAATGAAGGGTGGAAACATTCATTACAACCTATAAAACTGGTTGTAAAGAGCTTTATTAAATATGCTGAAGAAGATGAATTTTTGTCATGCAATAAGGGTATTACAGTGTGAGGTGACAATAACTTAAGAAAGCAACCTTTAAAACAGCAGTGAAGATAACATAAGAACAGAGAAGATCCTATCAGAAAGAGGACAGTAGATCCTTATATATGTTATTGCCAGTGAAGAGTAAAAGAAGGTGCAAGGTTTGAATAGTTATGAGGATTTGGCCATGTTGAGCAAGTATATGTTCAAGGTAGGAAGAAGAGAAGTCCAGATAGAAGATTGAATTAGTTTCTAAATGAAATACCATGAGGCATTTGATCTAGAAATGAAAAATTTAGAATGTATATGGAAAGAAATGAGCAGGAGAGGGTGAATATGAGAAAAACAGGATGATTCGCGTATCTCATTAGGGACTGGTAGAGGTTTATACCAGAGTGAAAGTGGAAAACCTCATTATAGAGTAAAGTGATGTTTTGGAAAGATGAGCTTAGAAGACTGGAATGAATGGGTGAAGAATAGTATGAAAATGAAAATGTTGATCTAGTAATCAAAAAGATGACTTTCAAACCTTATTATTGATTTATTTAAAAAAATTATTGGGACTGGAGAGATAGCACAGCAATTTCCTTGTACACACCGATTCAGGTTTGATCTCTAGCAACCACTATGGCGTCCCAAGCATCACCAGGAGTAATTTCTGAGTGGAGAGTAAGGCTAAGCCCTGAGAAATGCCAGATAGGGCCCCAAAACTAAACAAATTTTTAAAATAAAAAATTTATTAAGTCATTGATTTACAAAGTTAATAAATTATAGTTTAATTTCACACATAAAATTTTCCAGCACAATGCCAACTTCACCAATGTCAACTTCCCTTTACCAATGTGTACAGTTTACCTCAGCCCTCCTTCAGCCTGTCTCTTTGACAGACATATTCTGAAGTGTTTGTTGTATTTTGGAAGTAATGCTTTCAATTTTGTCAATTTTGTTAGTTCTGTGATATATCTACTCACCTAGGCTCCTAACAGGTGATCCATATTTGACACTTAGGATGTAATTAAGCATATCAACATTCAGTAGATACACCAGGATCAGCTGGGATATTTTGTGTAGAAGGCATCCTTAATATATAGAGAGTCATATCCTCACAACTTCCAATTACATTTACCTCCATGCTTCCCCTACATTTAAAAGATCCCAAATTCAATCAGCATAATCATGGCTAAATAAATGGTAGTACATCTACATTTTTTAAAAAGGTATTTATCACATATGGAAATGAGAGAAGAGAGGTATCTATGACAACGATCAGATTACTCACACCAGAAAGCAGAATGTGACATTGTGAGAGACAACTTGGAGACTGGATGGAGAAGAAACTCAGTTTTAAATAGAAGAAACTCAGTTATGAATTTGAGAGGGGCCAGAAAAATAAAGTAGTTGATAAGGTGCTTGTCTTGCATACAGCTGACCCAGGATTGATCCCTGGCATCCCAAATGGTCCCACGAGCACCACCAGGAATAATTCCTTTGTGCAGAGCCAGGAATAACTCCTGAGCATTTCCAGGTGTGCCCCCCCCAAAAAAAACCCAGAAAGTAATTATAAATTTGAAGGACCTGAAGGAGTGTGCATATATGGTTCATCTTTCATGCAAAACTTATCAAATGCCTGGAATATTTGTATGGTAAAGCATTGGTAATCATACCTTTTATGGATCAGGTGTAGTTTTCATTTATGCATACCTGTTAAAAGTCATGGGTATGATTGACTTCTAGACAAGGATATTGAGGCTTAGGGATTTGGAGACACCATCAACATCTAAGACATGTGAGAAGAGGAGACTTGTGGAAGGAGGAATATAGGAAGATAGATAATTTTGAACACTTTACCTGCTATTGCCACTCTTATGGTTTGGATGACCATAAATATATTACAAATGGACTAGAGATATAGCTTGGTGCACCAAGGTTTGAACCCTGGTTTGACCCCAAAAGAGAGAGAGTGATGGATTCAAAGGGTCTGAGAGAAATAAAAGTGATCTCTTCTTAATTGCTAACTTTAGTCCTGTGTTGCACCACAAACCAGGTGCAATATATCCAGCCCCTCCTCAAAAGGTGCCACGAGAAAATAAGAAAAAGGCAAATCTCAGTGGCTGGCAGTTTTAATAACAAATTTAGCCTTGGGGATATGTCCTTTGCAGTTTTTGGGAGTGGGGAAAACAGAAGTTAAATGCAAATTTTTGGGAAGGGGTTTTGGGAACTTATAAATTTTTTGAGATTAGTTCCAAGTTCAACAAGCTTTAATATTCTTCTGACAGACTTCTCCCTATTTTTAAAATAATTTTTATTTTATAAAGTAAAAGTAAAGTAAAGTAAAGGCCCTCCCGTTGATCATCGATTTGCACGAGCGGGCCCAGTAACGTCTCCATTGGAGACTTTGTTGTTACTGTGTCTGGCATACATCATGGGGAGCTTGCCAGGCTCTGCTCTATGGGCGAGATACTCTCAGTAGCTTGCCGGGCTCTCCGAGAGGGGCGGAGGAATCGAACTCAGGTCGGCCATGTTGGCTGCGTTCAAGGCAAATGCCCTACCGCTGTGCTATCTCCAGTGGCACATTTTATAAGTAGTTCACAATATTTGATTACATATTCAAACACCTGGAGGTCTTCGGCTGCCGGAGCCCTGGTCGGGGTGGGGAGGAAAGCTCAACCCGCTCCCTCCAAGGGGCCCCGGCGAGGAGTAGCCAGGCGCGGGGGCAGGAGACTGCACTGTTCTCCCTCCGGGATCTGGTTTTTATAGTCTCTGAGTCTTGGCCGCTGATGGGATTACACGGCGCCAGGGGGCCAGTTGGTGGGTGTGACCCCTGCCTACTGGAATTTGGAGGATCTGGGTGGAGGATGCTTGACTCCAATCCGAGTAGGCTTGGAGATCTCGGCCCCGAAACCCACGTGGCTTTGTCTTCTGCCGGTACCTTCAGGTGTGCGGAGAGTGGTGTCAGCATGGTGGTGTCTGGTCCTGGAGGTCTTCAGCTGCCGGAGCCCTGGTCGGGGTGGGGTCTCGTTCTCTGGTCTCTTATTATGACATCTTATTATGACATCTCATTCCTACTTTGACAAACTGGCAGGCTACCGAATGTAACCTGCCCACACGGCAGAGTCTGGCAAACTCCCTGTGTCGTACCCAATATGCCAAATACCAGTAACAATGATGGGTCTCATTCTCCTAAAGAGCCTTGAATATAATCTCAGGGCTAGGATGAAGGAGACGTTACTGGGGCCTGCTCGAGGCAATCGACGAATAACAGGATGATCTGTGATCTGTGATCTGATTCAAACACCAATCCCACCACCATTACACCTTCCCAGCACCATATTTTGGGTGCTTCCATCCCAAACCCCAACTCCTGCCCCAAAGCAGAACTGAAATAATATATTTTGTATTGTTTGTTATGTAAAATCACTGAAAATGCAACAAAAAATTTCTTTAGAGGAAAGAATGTGAAGATTATTGTATTTCACCCAGGGCCATTAAGACCTTCTATAAGAGATCATTATCATGTTCATGGAAGTTGAGCTTTGTGTGCTTATATATACATCATTTACTGTCACTGTCCTACCATTGTTTATCGATTTGCTTGAGCGGGCACAGTAATGTCTCCATTGTGAGACTTGTTGTTACTGTGTTCGACATATTGAATACATCACGGATAGCTTGCCAGGCTTTGCTATGCAGGCAAGATACTCTCAGTAGCTTGCCAGGCTCTCTGAGAGGGGCAGAGGAATTGAACCCGGATTGGTTGGGTCTGCCACGTGCAAGGCAAATGCCCTACCACTGTGCTGTTGCTCCAGCCCTATAGTAAAGTAAAGTAAAGGCCCTCCCATTGATCATCGATTTGCTTGAGCGGGCCCAGTAATGTCTCCATTGGAGACTTTGTTGTTACTGTGTTTGGCATATCGAATACATCACGGGGAGCTTGCCAGGCTCTGCCGTGTGGGCAAGATACTCTCAGTAGCTTGCCGGGCTCTCCAAGAGGGGCGGAGGAATCGAACTCAGGTCGGCCATGTTGGCTGCGTGCAAGGCAAATGCCCTACCGCTGTGCTATTGCTCCAGCCCTATATATATACATATCTGTAAAAAAATATTCTCTCTAAAATTGGTTGCTTCCTACTTTGAACCCCATAAAATGTGGTGCAATACTCTTGGAATATGAATAGGATGTGTGGTATGAAGTGTCCAGGAATAGGTTCATTCTTGGGTGAGGCTTGGCCCAGTGGCCTTGAGCGTGGCAGAGGTTGAGTACTGAAGGCTATAGGCTGCCAGGACTGGGTTCCTTGATGTGGGAAGGGGGGTCTCACCTGCCTTCTCCCCCCCCCCCCCCACCGGGAGCCTTAAATGAAACAGCCTGGTGTGAGGTCCAGCAGCATGGTTATGGCAAGTGTCATGTTAAGCTCCTTTCCAGGAGAGAAGGACATGTGACTCTGGACGGTGGCTAATGACAAGTTTATCTGGTGTCAGCCAGAGGTGGCTTATGGGCATGACTGCTGAGTTGCAGGAGACAGGGTAATATAGGCTGAAGATCTCCATTTCGCGTCCCGTTGAACCCCAACTTCTTAGTCACAAAGTACCATATACCAGGGTTTTCTGGGGATTCAATCATGGGTGAGGCTTGGTCTAAGTGTGTGGAGAGCAGCTGTGAGCAGGGTGGTGATTGAGTTCTGGAGTTTTTTGGCTGCCGGGGCTAGATCTCTGAGGTAGGGATGATGCTCCCTTCCAGAACTTCTCCATATTTTGTTTAATTGAAGTAATCTGACTTTAAAAAATACTTTCCGAGCCAGTGTGGGTGAATATCCATGAAGCTGAATGAATAGATCAGTACCCCATATCACAGATCTTATAGTTTGGTTCATTTAAGAGATCTTAAACTGGACTCGGGATATAGAGAAGAAAAAATTAGTCAGTATTACAAAAGTTTTCTTCTTGGGTATAAGAAACCCAACCAGACATATTTATTCTGGAGTAAGAATCAGAAAGCATAGCAACAGGCTAAATCCAAACTGTGAACTTCTCTGATAATTCCCTGGTGTTGAAAATTACCTATTGCTTCCCCAGAGATGTGCCGCACACTGCACCATTTTATTTCCTTATACTTAAAAGGCCCTCCCGTGGATCATCGATTTGCTCGAGCAGGCCCAGTAACGTCTCCATTGGAGACATTGTTGTTACTGTGTTTGGCACATCGAATACATCACGGGGAGCTTGCCAGGTTCTGCCGTGCGGGCGAGATACTCTCAGTAGCTTGCCGGGTTCTCCGAGAGGGGCGGAGGAATCGAACTCGGGTCGGTCATGTTGGCTGCGTGCAAGGCAAATGCCCTACCACTGTGCTATCGCTCCAGCCTACGGCCATACCACCCTGAACGCGCCTGATCTCGGAAGCTAAGCAGGGTCGGGCCTGGTTAGTACTTGGTTGGGAGACCGCCTGGGAATACCGGGTGCTGTAGGCCTTATACTTAGAACCTATAAAAACTGCTTTGAATGCCCTAAAATTGTTGAATGTGTTTGGACATAAAATACATTGAAAAATAGATGAAGAGTCGATAAAATATTTTTCTGGATACACACACAATCTGAAAGCTATATTAAAAGGTCAGAAGTCTAAACCAGCTTAAAACCTCAGGGATATAAGTTCATTGAATTATGCATGGTTTTATTTTAACATATGTTACTTTTATTCTCCTTCAAAGCTTGTATTGTTTGCACGTTAAAGGAGCATTGAATGTATTGAATGCTCTCAATAGACTAGTTCATGTGCCACCCCAGTTTGAAGATGTTGACTCTCAGCAGAACTGTGTAGTAAAATCTTTAAAGTACTCGACATAATAATCATTTTTGAAAAGTCAAAAGGAAGATCCAAATATAAAATAAATCAATCATGATTCGAAAGTGATTAAGAGAGAAAGAGTTGTGAGATTACCCTAATATGGCCACTAAATTTTTTTTAAACAAGCCACTATACTAAGGTTTCAGGCTTCAAAATAAACACACAAAATTTTGTACACATATATAAATTATAATTTTAAAATAATGACTTAAAATAGATAGAATTCAAAAATTAATTCCATTTTAAATTGTTCCCCAAATTATCTAGGGATCGCCTAGGGGTCAGCTTAAATCACCTACAAAAAAAACCCTAACTAAATACATTAGTGAAAGACCTATACCATGAAAATGGTAAGTCATTTATGAAATAAATAGAAGAGGACCCCACAAAATACAAAAGCATCTATAATCATGAATTAAAATAATAAAAAAATTCTCAAAATGTCTCTCTTACCCAAAGAATATATAATATATATTTAAATATATATTTAGTGCATTTCCCATAAAAATCCATATGACACTCTTCAAGGAATTATAATGAACACTATTTACATTTTTATGAAAGCATTAAACTCCACTAATAGTCAAAGACATCCTAAAATTAAAAAAAATTGGAAAGCATGATAGTCCCTGACTTTAAACTATTCTATAGAACTATATTGAGGAGGAATTATACTGTACTCAGACAAAGATTTCATGAAAGTGTGCTGTAAATGAGTAGTATTTACATAGGTGAGTATGCTGTATAAAAGTTAAAGATTTATTTGCACAAAAAGAGAGTAAACCCAGAAAAGGAAGGGAAGCTTCACCTCAAGGAGATCTTTGTACTGGATATCTGTAATCCTCAAGATTAAATGATGCCAGAGAGAAAATAAGAAGACTAATTCTCATATTAACACGATATGATGTTTTATACAACCCTGGAGGTTTTTCACAAGAGCATTGAACTTGATTCTGAAGGTGGCCTAATACAAGTTTCATGCATGTGGGCCAGAGGCAAAGGACTTTTATAAACTCATACTTTGGTTAAGCAGTGGATCCGTGCCTTTGTTGGGCGTCCTCTGATAACACTAGTGTATCTGTCATTCCATTATTCTCCCTAAAGAAACTAAGAGAATGCAGATGTCTTAGAAGTAACTGTAAAAAGAAATACAAAGGAGACAATAATGTTTTCCAAGGGAAAATATCGATTATACTGCTGATCATGCATCACACTTAGCCTATTGACTCATTCATGCAGACCTCAAGAAGATTATGGATTGTAGGCCATCTTGATAAATCTTGATGACTATAAATTGTTTACAGAGTGAAATTAGAAGCATTCAGAGGAAGAGTCAGGATTTTATTTTCATTTCAGAACTCTTCAGGATGTTGATTTAATTCAGCACCAACACAAACAAGTTCATACTCTTTCTGGAGGTATGAAAAGGAAGCTCTCCATTGGCATTGCTTTCATTGGCCGATCAAGGACTGTTATTCTAGATGAGCCCACCAGTGGGGTTGATCCTTGCTCTCGTCGGAGCATCTGGGATATTCTTCTCAAGTATCGAGAAGGTAAAAGCTGAAATCATTCTTCTGTCTCTTCTTCCACCATTGTGGCTCATGATAAAGAATGCTTTGAATGTAAATATCTAAGTTATTTCCCAATGCATTTACATTATACTTTTCAGGAAAAGAAAATTTTGTAAGAATCTATAGTACTATATCCATTGTACAAATAAGATCTCTGTTCTAAGAATTCTATTACACTGTGTTGATCTCTTAAAAATTATATAAATCATGTTAGCACCAATCTTAGCAATGTATGTTACACATGATTTTTGTTTTTTGGACCACAGCTAGAAGTGCTCAAGGCCTCTGTGCTCAGGAATTACTCCTGGCAGTTCTAGAGACTCAATATGAGCACACTGGTGGACTCTGGGGATCTGAGACTAGTTCCTAGGAATCAATCCCTATTGTCCATGTGCTCCGGACCTATATGATTTTAATTAAAATTGTATTATCCCATATTGTATTTTATTACAGAACTGCAGGTGATTTGAGAACACATAGTAGCATTAATATAGGACAAATCTACCTCTAAGATGAGGAAACAAGGGTACAGCAAGATGATTGTTATTTGCTACAGAAGACGTTTTCTTATAAAGCTTTGTGAAATAGGGCCAGTGTGTATGTGTGTATGTGTTTGTGTGTGTGTGTTAGCAGTGTTTAGAACTGAATGTGATTGATGGGCCCTAGAATGATGAATTTTTATACCTTTCCTAGAATCATTGAAGCAGATACCAGAGTAAATTAGTGCATACCATGAAATTTCTGTGATCTTATTCTTGCTGTACATTTAGAGAAATTATCCTGAAGAGATTATCAAATTTTGTGGGGAGAAGGTTTCATGTTTGATAAAGGAGAAAACTATATCATCTCATAAAATGCTTATCTAAATCCACATCCTTTTTTGACTTGAAAAGTGCAATCATCTTTTATATTTTTACTTTTTATTTTATTTTTTAGGAGGGGCACCCCGGATGATTTTCAGGTGTTAATCCTGGGTCTTCACTCAGGGATCATTTCTGGTGGATTTGGGTAGGCCATATGTGTTAGGGACTGCTTCTGGGTTGCTGGCCCACAAAATGAGTGCCAGATCACTCCAGCTCCCAAAATGGTACATTTAAATTGTCTCCTAATCTGCCATTGAAAGGACAAGCACCTCAGGGACCTCCATTCCACCAGTGTTGATGACAACCCTCTTGGTCACAGGTCGAACAGTGATCTTCACTACCCATCATCTGGATGAGGCTGAAGCACTCAGTGACCGTGTGGCTGTTCTGCAGAGGGGACTCCTACACTGCTGTGGGCCTCCCTTCTGCTTGACCGAGGCTTTTGGCCAGGGCTTCAGCTTGACACTCACAAAACAAGTAAGAAACAGAATGATGATGTAAAGTAATCCTTTCTATGTGGAGCATAAAGAACAAACTAATATAGAACAACTATATTTTACATGCTATATATGCATTTATTATTAATGTTTCATTGTTTTTGTACTGCTGTAGAACTTAGAGGGAATGATTAAAATAGGGATACAAGATTTCTACAGCATATTCTTGAGTTCTGATATGAGGGAACTACCAAGGAAAGAAACAAAATGGTAAGTAAGGTAAGAAGAGTAGGCTCAAAGCTGGACAAGCGTGGACTTTGTTGCTCAGATGAGCTTAGTAGTTTAGTAGGAGCTCCTGAAAAGATGCACACTAGAAACAGGCAGTGTCTATAGTTTAAGAGGAGGTTCTGTGTATAACTACAAATATACAAAATAAATCCCAGTAGCTTATCATGCAGTCAGTTCCAGAAGTCCAGTAGGACATTCAGGCTGCCAAATGAATCAGATGATTGCCAGAATACTTGAAGGTAACAGAATCTGTTCCTGTATCTTGCTGAGCAGTATCATGACTCAGATACTATAAAATTTACTTTCTACGACTGACACTATTTAGGGAACTAGCACTCTTTACATGATGTGAAGCAAACTGTTTTAGTATCTGAGAAGTGAAAGTTGTATTCTTGACGCACCATCCTAAGAAACAGTGGTTATTTCAACAACTCTGGAATTTTATTTTTTTTAATTTTATTGAATCACTGAGATGATTGTGAGATGATTACAAGCTTGTGAGATGATTACAAGCTTTCATGTTTGGGTTACAATCATAAAATGATCAAACACCCATGGGATTCCTCTTTAATCTAGGTTGAACTTCTTGCTACTATAACATAGTAACACCCTGGTGATATTTTTTTTTTGTCTTTTTAAAGTAAACTTGGTCTTGTTTCTTGTAGTCTAACTGCCAATTCAATTTTTGGGGGCCTCCTGGGACACTGAGGATGCATTATGAAAAGAAATTTCTAGAGGTTTATTTTTTCGAATCATTGAGATGACTATATCGTATTCCTCTCACAAAATTATAATATATTTTGTGTTAGATTAAGTACATTAATATTATGTACGTAATATACAAGTAGGAGTACTATTATAAACCATTAATATAAAATACATGAAATACATACATGCGCATAAAGAATATTAAGAAAGAAAAGTAGGGTGGTAAATGGGAATTAGTCTTGATCAACCTAAGGTGTTTTCCAGTACAAATTTATCAAGAGAGATTTATTTTTCAGCTTTAAATTTTGCTTAGGTAGTTTTTGTCTGAAATCTTAATAACTTAGCTTTCTGTCTTTTCTCCTCTTATTTCAAGTATGCCATTTATGTTATTGAAGACATTTATGACAAACTCCCATTATTTTTCATTGTTGCTTTTTCTCCCCCAAAGGAACTTCTTTCTTGCCCTTCTTTAGTAAGAAAGAAAGAAAAATGAAATTATTTTCTTGAAATGCCTATAATTAATATAGCCAAAAGTAACAGTTATTGCTTTTGATTATTTGAATTGATTTTTGATTTATTTTCTAATTTAGATATTTATAAATTTCTGATTTAGATATTTATAAATTGGTATAAATTTGACATGTTTTGATTTATATTTATCACAACTGTTTTTTCTTCTTTTGTTCTAGAGTTCTCTTATGGAGGAACAGAATTCTAAGGAGATCTCCTGTATCACATCTCTGATACAGAGCTATATTCCACAAGCATTTCTCAAAGACACAAGTGGTTGTGAGCTAACCTACACCATCCCCAGAGATGTAGACAGAATTGGCTTCAAAGGACTCTTCCAGGCCCTGGATCAGAACCTTCATCATTTATACCTAACAGGCTATGGAATTTCAGACACCACCCTAGAAGAGGTACTGAGGCATGCAGCTTACTTTGATATTGTTATACTTTGTTTTCTACTCTTTTTTCAGTCTAATTTAGGCAAGGGCAGCTTGGAAGGGGATCTAATGGAGAACACTTTGCACTTGGGTATATTTCCAAGTCCTAACAATATCAGACATGGACTAAGTCAAGAATGGAATGCATATACCTAATGGGTGTCTATAATTTTTTAAGTAAGGTAAGGAAGGTAACAATTTTTGTATTTGATACTTCAGTCCTTCACCCCTCTGAAAGAGCCTGGCACGCTACCGAGAGTATCTTGCCTGCATGGAAAAGCCTGGTAAGCTACCTGTGACATATTCTATATGCCAAAAGCAGTAACAACAAGTCTCACAATGGACATGTTACTGGGCCTACTCGAGCAAATCGATTAACAACGGGAGGACAGTGCTACAGTGCTACAGTGATACTTCATTGTTATCAAAAATGCATCAAATAGTAACAACTATAAATTATTCTAAAATAAATAGTCATTAAGCATTCTGAAACCTAAAAAGGCTTAACACATTTCCAAATTATTTTGCATGGAGTATATTTGATTCTCCCAAGTACATTCTAGATATACAATATCCCTAACCCCTTTCACATTATAATTCCTACATTAAGATTGAAGTTCATATACCCTTAATTATTCTCCAAAAATCACACAACTAATAAATAACAGTGCTACTTGTGGGTCTACATATTTTAAAAATAAGTCAGGTTCTCTAATGTACCCATAAGTTTGTGAATGACATTCTCCATTCTCTATCAATAACCACCTTATTCTTTGAACATATCATTCAGTGCATGTGATGGACATTCTCAATCAACCCACTAAATATCCTGCAATGGAAAAATGTTTTTCTAAAACTGGAGCATAAAGTTATTGCATTTTATGCTATAATTGTCTCTCTTTTACAGTCGTTATTCAAGTGTTTATGTGAATGCTATCTCATGAAATGCTATTGTGATATAAGAACCATGAATACAATGATTCTAGTATCAGTCAAGTACTGCCTTGTTACTCCCATGACGCTTTTTAGGTTAGCCTAAAAAGTGACCTCAGATGTTGACTATCTTGCCTATACATGTTTATATCTGTGATTGTCTTAATGTATCAGTAGGTCCCAGTACAGTTCTTAGCACGAATAGTTGCTTAATTATCATTTTATTAAATAATGTGCATAAAACTTCCCAAACTACCCCTAACTTCTTAGAAAATCTTCTTATGTTTTAAATGGCATTTCTTTTTAAAACAGTGTTCTAAATCCAAACAGTTCTATTTTTTGTCTGCATTTTGGGTCACACCTGGCATTGCACAGAGGTTACTCCTGGCTCTGCACTCAGGAATAACTCCCGGCGGTGCTCAGAGGACCATATGAGATGCTGGGAATTGAACTTGGGTTAGCTGTGTGCAAGACAAACGCCCTACCTGTTAAGCTATCACTCCAGCCCCCCAAATCCAAACAGTTCTAAATCCAAAGCTTTCTCCCTCCTAATGTTAAAAGCCTCAGCTAAGTCACCCATCCTTTGTGAGCCTGCTTAAAAAATTGAATAATTAGAAGACTTTATATGATTATTTTAAGAGTTCACAATAATAGTTAAATGCATTTAATAATATGGTTAAAAACAGGAAGTTTTGTAGTCTTTGCCTACAAGACTCAATATATGAAGCTGTCAGTATGGCTTTGGAGACATAATGGATTTTAGTTTGTCTTAGAAAAGCCTATCTTTTCTATGTTCCAGAAAAGTGTATCTCTTCATCTAGTGATTTTGTATCAATGTAGAATACCAAAATGTTCCACAGCATCCTGTCTAGGGTGATTGGTGTCAAGTCACATTTTGCATTATTTTTATAGGCATGAGTTTCATTGTCTTTTTCTGTAGTTCATTAAAGCCATAGGTTCAAACATGACTGGATCACTTTTACAACTTTCTTCTGAAATCTGGGCAAGTTGCATAGTTGAGCTATTTGGACTAGTATGAATCACATTTCCTGACTTGTTTAGCAGTTAAATCCATGGGGATACAATTAAATAAACCACTAGAAAGTTTCCATTTGATGATCTGAGATTCCCCCAATGACTTTTTTTTATGCTATTCCTGAGACTTTCTATTTCTCTCACATGCCTCAGGGCAATGAAGATTATCCTAATATATCTCTGAGAAACCTCCTTATCTGAAGGTGTCCCTGAGAAGTCTTATATACTTTCTACACTGAAGGTTTTTATTAAATGAAGGGAGGTAGTTTTACCATAAAAGCAGAATGAAGCCCAGGGATTGGAATCTTGACTTAGACCATTGACTTGATGCTTTTTGCCATACTCTTCCACTTTCCTACCCCACTACTTTGAAAAAGGAACCTGGAAAATGTTTATGAGACAAGGTCAAGGGATAAGATTTTAACTTCAGTGTAATAGGTACCTTAACACTGAAGCAGTCCAGGAGCCGGTAAGGGTCTAGATGTCTCTTCCTTCTGTCCATCTTCTGCCTTAGGATAGTGCTGTCAAGCTTCCCTTGTGTCTACTCAGCATTATCGCTTACAGCCTCCCCTGACTCTCCACTGGATCCTGTCTTATCTATGGAGATCTAGGAAGGTTAGGAACTTGCTGTACCATCTTTTTATTTCATGAATAGTTTTAGATCCAATTTAAAATCTCATTACATATTCCATCTTTCAGCAAATACATTCATCATGTATTATCATTAACATTATCTACTCCTTCCATTACAGTTACTTTTCTTTCATTCTTCATAATTCACAATGTTAAGATTTCCTTTCTACACATTGTTCCAATTCCATTTTTCAATACAACCCACTAGAGGATCTGCTTCCCTCCACCATTATCTCAAACCCCTCAGATTAACCTCAATTTTCTTTACTATGCTAAACTTTGGGAAGACTGAGTAAGGAGAGGCTGCTGAAATCTTAGGGCTGGGACGAATGGAGATGTTACTGGTGCCCACTTGAGCAAATCAATGAACAACGGGACGACAGTGATACGGTGATTCTATACTCAGTTCTATGGACAGGATTTTATACTCTATTCTCATTAGCCCTTTGCTGTTATTTCTTATGAGGGAGATCATTCTTACCTGCCCCACTTCTGCTTCTTAACTTCATGCAACACAAATCCTTCCAGTTCCATCAACATAGCAGCAGCATATAAATGGCATAATATCTTTTATAGCTTAGGAAAAACATCAATCTATATATCTATCTACTATCTACCCACATTGTAGTTTCTTAATCCAGTCATCTGTTGTTTGGGGTTGTTTTCTTATTTTTAGCTATTATGAATAATATCACAATAAATATTGGAGCTCAAACATCATTTCTGAATGAACATTTTGGACTCTTGGGATAGATGCCCCCAAATGGTATTGCTGATCTTATGAAATTCAGATGTTTAGTTTTTTCAGGAGTGTTCATATTGTTTTCCTAAAAAGTTGAATGAGTCAACACTTCCTCAGCAGTGAATGAGGTTCCTTTATTCTTTTATACCATTCAACATTGGTTGTTTCCGTTCTTTTTATTTTTTTAAATTTTTTTTATTAAAAATTTTTTTAATAGTGAGATATCATGAGGTACAGTTGCAGACTTACACATTTTTCTGCTTGGGTTTCAATTATACAATGATCAAATACCTATCCCTCCACCGGTGCCCATTTCCCACTACCACGGATCCCAGTATCCCTCCCACCCCCCGTCCCCCCATCCCACCCTGCCTCTGTGGCAGGGCATTCCCTTTTGTTCTCTCTCTCTTATTGGGTGTTGTGGTTTGCAAAAGAGACAATGGGTGACAATCATGTTTAGTCTATAGTCTACTTTCCGCATGCTTCTCCCATCCTGGGAGGATCCTTCCAACACCTTTATTTGGTGTTCCCCTCTTTATCTGAGCTCCCTTTTCCCCTAGTATGTGTGGTTGGCCTCCAAGTCATGGAGTAAAATTACTGGTACTAATCTCAGTCATTCTTGGGTGTTAGTTTCCTATTTTGTTACTTTATGTTCCCCAGATGAATGCAATCTTTCTATGTCTATCCCTTTCTTTCTGAGCCTTTTCGCTTAACACGATACTTTCCGTGTAGTACCACTTGTATGTAAATTTCATGACTTCGTCTTTTCTAACAGCTTCATAGTACTCCATTGTGTAAATGTACCAAAGTTTCTTTAACCAGTCATCTGTTCTCGGGCACTCAGGTTTTTTCCAGATTCTGGCTATTGTAAAGAGTGCTGCAATAAACAGACAATTGCAGATGTCACTTCGACTATACTTTTTTGCCTCTCTGGGATATATTCATAGAGTGAGTTTTTGATTTCATCTATGGAATCTGTGATCTGTGCCATTTCTGTGTGAAGCTTTCCAATTTCTGCTCTCATTTTTTGCTGTATTTTGTCGATTGTGTGATGGATTATTTCTTTCATGTCCTCTTTCAATTTAGTGGATATCTGTCTATTCCATTGAGTTGATTGAACATCTTAATGACTTCATATCTGAATTCTTGTCAGAGAAGTCCCTAAGGTGGCTAGCACCTACTGAGGCTTCTGGACTTATTTCCTCGTCGTCTCCCTGTGGCGGGGATTTGCCTTGTTTCTTCATGTTGTTGTGTAGGTATAGGGGTCAGATTTCTTGATTTGAGTAAACTACCATGGCCAGCCCAAAATTAGGCCACGCCCACTCTTCAAAAGCCACGCCCACTTATAAAGTGGCCAGACCCCAAGGATACCTGGTGTCTGTCCCGAGAGTAAAGACTGGGTGGGGAGAAGAGACCAGCTTGGCTTGGGCGGCGGAAAGTGGGAGGTAGAGAGGCTCAGATCTGCTTTGTCTTCCGGCATCGGGGGACGCCTTGGGGCTTGCACTGTGGAATCCAAGTCTGGGGTTCAAGAAACGGCGCGAAAACTGACCTGGAGGTTGGGGAGGAGAGACCAGCTCTGCTTGGATGGCGGAAAGGGAGATGCAGAGAGACTCAATTCTGCTTTGTCCCC